TTTGTTGACCATCTAAACTTGAGATTTAGATGTGTCGCCCCCCTCGCTTAAGTCACCCGATTTCTATGGAGATGCCGTTTGCCTTAAGTAACAGCACTGAGAAACCCGTGAAAAGTGTACTTTCGTCGTTTCGTTTTCTCATTATTAAAGTGAATAAATCGAACTGTTTGTTGCTAAGATGATCTCGGTGGTCCTAAAATGATGAATGGGCTGCACGTAAGGAGACGTAATTGATTACTCTCCCGAATATCCTGTTAAATACACTTTGACTTAAGTAACAATAGGGGCCACCAAACGACGTATAATATCTTTTGACTTAAAAACCAGTATTTCTTAGCATGAAAGCTAGCGATTTGTCTTTGTATGATTAAAACCCGGCTGAATATGTTAAACATTGCTATCACTATGGGATTATATGTGTTTAATTGGAAATAGGAATAAATTTTCGGTCATCCAAACAAAACTTTATTTTTCTCGGATCGGTGGGAATGTTACTTACGACATAATGAAAATTTGCTCTTGACATGCTGTTTGGCAACAGGCTCTCCCTTTCAATTTTCGTTAGAGAAAAAGAAATAACAGGCGGTACCCCCTATTTTAAGCTAGTACATATGAGTAGATAGTGTTGCCGTGAGGTACACTCGAAAATTTTAAATGTAAGTGCGTCAAATCAAATATCGAGCCGCTCCGTCTGTCACTTCGTTTGTGGTCAAGGCATGCGAAACAGCGCACGGCGATGGCGCCCTGAGAGAGCGCATTGAGATGTTTCAATGAAACAGTCGCATGTGATTGAAAACATGCGTCGCATTGAGAGAGCAATGCGATGAGACAAAAAAAAAATTGAAACGCTCGAATTTGTTGAGAGCGTGTAGCTTGTCGCGCGCATCGTTCTGGTCTCTCTTTTGTACAATTAATGTAGCACACCATGGATTTGAGAGTCATGCGACGCTCTGTCTCACAGCTCGCTGTCGCATTTGTGTACGCGTGAGATTTCCGGAAGCCTGCTTGCAACCCTTGCTAGAAGCCAGCATTTCACATGACTTTTATTTTTGATTCGATTTACGTGCAAAATAATAATTGATTGCATCGTAATATTTTGCACATTTCTCGGTGCCATTAATTAACCAACTAAGATCAATTAATCTATGGAGTTAGAATATTGTTTTTGATTTCAAAAACTAGTTGAATTTGAGAAGCACACGAAAGATAAAGGTGATTGAATTTCTGTTCGATTGCAATACTCTTAAATTTTATCTAATAAGAATAAGAAATATTTGATCAAAATCTAATGGGAATGTTCGATTGGCTCAGATTTTGGCAGTTCATTTGGCTCAAAACATTCTCTCCGCCCATCTCTCCCTCTGAGTATTTCTAATTAACCACTTCATTCGAGCAGTTAAAATGACGTTTACTACCACTCAAACTTTGAAATAAAACATTATTTTGAGATTTTTTCTTCTACAACCACGAGAAAAGTAGCCAACATTTGTGCGTTTGATAAAAAAGAGAAATTAGTTGATCCCGTTTTGTGAAATCGCTGGTAGAAGGTCACGCCAAAACTGTTTGAAAAAAGTGGTCAATTGTTATGTGTACCACACATTCAAAAATATAGCTAAACTTGGAACGATTAAAATTTACCCATTTTATGTTTTTCCTATTTTTATACATTGATCGAGACATTGATTCGATTAAAATTTATTTCAAAATTATACTAAGTCCTCGACTAAGTCCGAATAATGGTGCAAAATTCTGTCAGTGTATACCACTGATTAAGGCAATCGTGACGGGGTGACAAACTGCCAAAGCTAGTCCATGTATGTTGATAACATTAAAATCAACAATGATGTCAAGGAGCTGGTGGAACGCAAGGAGTCGAACAGCCCTTCTGATAGAAAATCTGATTGCGCAGGTTCTAACCAGTGTTGTTTTGTATTGTTTTTAAAAGCAATAGCAGTTACAACGAGGTTAAAACCTTAACGTTTATCTTTCAGACATTGAGATCCATCCACTGAAAAGCCAAAATCTCAAGCTGAAGTTGACGGAGATGAAAAATTTAGACTAATTCCGAAACATATTGCTCGGCCACGATGTGGTTCGCAATTGTCGTTACGTGGAATCCAGAGCGTAACAGCAATCAGTGGTATCCAGTCTAAGTGGCTGGATCAGTATCGCTTTGATCAAATCGAAGATGTATCAAATGACGAGAGGTTTGTTTATGCCTGACGTTATTTGTAAATATCCACCTAGTGACTATCGTACTCTTTCTTCCAGATTGCTGGTCCCACTATTAACCAACCACGCGATACCAACGATTGGTGACATGCCGCTTTTTCAGATCATGTTCATCGTTACGTACGTACAAATTAAACTGAAGATCACCAATCTTCAGATTAACGAATTGTGCGCGTCCAAATCTAGTAACGGTAATTGGTATCAGACGAAAAAATCCATAGCAGCCCCCAGTCAGCATACCGGATCGTATGAGATGAAGCTGAAAGTCAACAGTGAGCATGCATAAGGGCGAATACGCGATGATCGATTCTCTTCATCGTTTTTCTCTTTGCATTGCTGCAGCTAAGCGAAACAATTTTCTAGAATTTGTTCAGTACATAGTAGTAACAGGTTGTATTGGCTATCAAAAGCAACAGCAAACGCACCGAGAAACGTTAAATCTAGCGAGTTATTAACAAAAGAGAAAATCGACGAAGAGAATCGATCATCGCGTATAGGCCCTTATGCATGCTCACTGTCGAAGTATTAGATTACAGGAATGACATCTAGATCGTTGATTTCCGCGCCCAGTGATTACAGCGTTTTGAAGGTGCCGAAGGACAAACAGCTCACGTAGGGATTGTAAAATAGGAAGACGGAGGTAATTCACAATGCGGAAATTTGTCTCATTGGGTGGTCAGATGATGCATCTAAATTGCTCTTTACTCGGCGTATTGTTTAAAAAATCATGAAAAAAGCAACGAATGGCACAGAACTAATACATTTAACAAATAGAGTCACACTATACATCATTCGCATATTTGCAGTTTATACTATTGGATTTATAATCCATTTTATACTAAGTTCATATTCTCTCTCTCTTTATACCAAGCTATGCGTTGGTCAGGAGAGTTGTGATTTAGCGTAGCTTTTATACTATTTAGATTTGATTATTTTTTTGAGCGCACATGAATTTTTGCATGTGATAAACGAATCTCGCGTATCACTTGAAAAGGGCCTATCCTCGTTGATCGATTCTCTCCATCGACATTCTCTTTGGTTTACCACGGCAACATAAACGAATTTCTCGCTAAGCTCACAGCACAGTTCGACAGAAGATGATGTTAGCATGTGCCTGCAGCAACACACTGAATGGGAAATTCATTTGCAGTCGGGTTTTTCGTGAAAGACCAAATCGATGAAGAGAATCGATCAACAATGATTGGCCCTTTTCTCATGTTGCGCGAGAAATGATATATATGTGTCGGACACATAGTTCTTATGTGTACAAATAATGTTTATGTGTAACCACACATACTATTCATTTGACCCATAAATTTCATGTGTACTTCTGGGTGGTTTCTGGTTATGTGTGGCGACATGAAAATCATGTGGAATTTTACATGGAAATTCGCCAATAAAAATGTGTTTAATTTTATGAGTGTAGTATAAACATAGAGGTAACTCTAAGACTAGTAGGTCCCGAAGAAAATCATTATTATTTTTGGCTCACTCAGTACCAGAACAACGGTCCCAAGCAGTCCCAAGCTATTTCACTCACCCCTGCATGTTCTGCATGAATCCACACACCCCTGATGTTATCTGTCAAACTTTCATAGCGAATCAAAACAAACATAGTGTAGTAATAGAATTTCAACTAGAATAGGGTACGTTAATCGTTTGCTTGGGACCATAGGCTACTAAAGTGGTGAGCCAATTTAAAATCGTTAGTTTCGTATTGATTGTTGGTATAAACCTTATGATTAACAATACATTTTAAATCGATAGTGAGCATGCATAAGAGCGGCCTAACTGCGATGATTCATTCTCTGAATCGATTTTCTCTTTAAATTGCTACAGCTAAGGAAAACAAATTTTCTGAAATTATTCCAATACTACTCAGTAACAGGTTGTATTGGCTGTCAAAAGCAACAACAAACTCTCCGAGAAATGTTTATCAAAGTGAGTTGTTAACAAAAGAGTAAATCGACGAAGATAATCGATCATCGCAGTTACGCCCTTATGCATGCTCACTGTTGAATAGTACATTGTAGTACAAGCTGAACATTGCATTCCCAAGTAACCATAGGCACGTTATTTCGCCTTTTCGGCTATAAAAGGGCCTCATCAGAACTTACACAACTTCTCTTTGTATTTCCACGACCATGAAAAGAGGATGTAAGGATTCCCAGGTATTTTCAGCACACAGGGGAAATGGATGTAATGTCGGCCTAAATGCCCCAAATTTGGGACCATACACAAATTCAGCAATTGATTAAATTTTCAATAGCGACCATAATTATTCATTAGTACCATCCCAATGACGCGTTCATCTAGATAAAATGGATAAATAGCAAATTTTTAGCGATGGGCCCAATTTAAGATCCATAGGCCAACATTAGAGCCATTTCCCCTACCTAATATTTTTTTCCAATAACAAAACTAATGATTTTTATCTGAATATCACATAACATCATACATTCCATGTGAGTAATCATATAGCTTTCATTGGACCCATAAGGTTCATGTGATTGAGTGGAGCAATTTCGAAATATGGGAAATTCACAAGGATATTTTCCACTGGTTATGTGATTTGATGTGAGCGTAGGACCTAATGCATTGTTCAGCTTGATTAAGCATTTAGCCAACTATGTTGCGTAATATCTAACCGACCCTTAAAACCATAAGCAACTCCGACAATCGCACCCCTGCTCGGAACTCCGACTGTCAACCAGCGGCGGCGGCCATCTTTATTCCTCTCTCAAAATCCGTCAAACTGACAGCTGTCACACGCACTCAGCTCACTCTTTTTCCCGTGCAACCTCGTTGAGCTAACACGCGTTTTCTCGGTGTTCCGTCGTTTGTTTCCGTGAAACAGAACCAAACCATCCAAAATGGGTCGTATGCACGCTCCCGGAAAGGGTATTTCCCAGTCGGCGCTTCCGTACCGCCGTTCCGTGCCATCGTGGCTGAAACTGAACGCCGATGACGTCAAGGAGCAGATCAAGAAGCTCGGCAAGAAGGGCATGACGCCTTCCCAGATCGGTATCATTCTGCGTGATTCGCACGGTGTTGCCCAGGTCCGCTTCGTCAATGGCAATAAGGTGAGTTTATCGGCGGGTGGTTTTCCGGTGGAACGATGGTGAAAAATTTAGTGAAAGTTGTATGTAAACAGGAACTTCCGGACATCCTACACTATATCGACGGCAAAAAGAAAGGTTAGGATTCCCGTCCATTTTTGTGTGCCGTTAGTTCGGGTCGTTTCCGCCAGAGGTGCTGCCGTCGATTTGTTGATGTCTGGAAGATGATTGTTTACATTGGTTTTTGGATTCCTGCAATCAATATTGATGATAATGCTTTCCGTTTGTGCTTGTAGGTCCTGCGGATCATGAAGGCCGTTGGCCTGAAACCCGACATCCCGGAGGATCTGTATTTCCTGATCAAGAAGGCCGTCTCGATCCGCAAGCATCTGGAGCGCAACCGCAAGGACATCGACAGCAAGTTCCGTCTGATTCTGATCGAGTCCCGCATCCACCGATTGGCTCGTTACTACAAGATCAAGGCTGTTCTGCCACCAAACTGGAAGTACGAATCGAGCACCGCCTCGGCCCTGGTTGCCTAAGGAGGACTGGGTAGCTTGCTGCATTCTATTTTTGTTTTTAAGTAAGTTCCGTTGGAGCGAAGTGGACTCCGCCAAGCAGAAAAATAAGGGGGACGAACACTATCCGAACATGAGTGTCATGTTTATGGGAAGAAATTTAAAATGGTAAATATCCAATAAACGGTTCACACAGAAACGGTGAAGCTGGGTTCGTTCTTACTTGATGGTACTGAGAACATCCCTGATCCGAAGTGTACAGTGGCTGGCTTGGTGGATTCGTCGTGTATGTTGTGAATAAGATGATGACCAGTGGACTGCAGCAACGTCAACTTGAACTTGGAAGTTATTCACTAAAGCAGCCTAATATTCACCGAAATTTGAACGTTAGTAAAGTCAAATATTGGTAACTGCGAACACCTGAAATCAGTGACATATTATTAAAATATAGCGAAGTGTTCGAATGTCTACTGCCATAGAAAATCGCGAATCCTCAGGGAATTTTTTAAACTCGTATCAAGCAATTCAAGCTGAATAATGCATTAGGTCCTATGTAACATTGATCGATCCTCTTCATCGGTTTTCTCTTTCGTTAATAACTTGGATACAGAACCGTTTGTTGTATTAGAAGCTGGATAATAGCTTCTATCATCGATCGGTGTGCTAGCTGGGAATGTCTTCAAAGGGCCGTGAGGATCCAAAGAGAAAGTCGACGAAGGGAATCTGTCAATGTTGCTTAGAACCTAATGCATTGTTCAGGTTGAATTCTTAAAAATTAGAATAGAATATATACCGCACGGTTCCTAACTTCTCAAGAATTCCAAAACATTTTAAAATACAACCAACGTAAACTTCTGCAGTGAATTTATCTTAAGTAACAACATAAATTCTGAAACTTGAATTGTTCATTAGGGTTCTGAATCATGAATAATTTGTTCAGACTTGGAGAAATTATCAAGAACCTGGATCAAAAATAAATTGGACATATTTTAATGTTTTCCTAGAACCCAAATTAAAAAAAAATAATTAGGGCCTCGCAAAAATGTCTCAGCTTATGGACTTTCATGATTGAATTTGATGATAATTTCCAAGGACCTCTATGACCTCCTCAATGAAATTCAGAGGAAAATTCCAAGGGAAGAATTGTTAGGAAAACTTGAAGTGAAATCTGAAACGTAAGTAAGGAGAATTCCAAGGTAGATCTGAGTATAATCTCAAGGAATTTCTGAGTAGGATTCAATGAAAATTCCCAACAGCATTCTGAGGGGGATTCCGAAGGGAGTTCTGACTAAGGGAGTTGTAAGGAGTACTTGTGAGTAGAATTCCACGAGAAGAAGGAGAGTTCAATGAGAATTTTGGAAATAATTCACTGCAAATTTTGACGATGATTCTAATTAGTATTGCAAAGGAATTTTAAGGACAGTTTCAAGGAAATTACCAACAAAGTTTTTAAGGTGAATTTCGAAGTAATACTTAGAAGAGATTCAAGGCTATTCCTGTAATCATTTTAAGTGAAATCATAGAAGAGTTCCTAAAACATTCTGAAGAGCATTTCAAGGAATTTACGGCACTGCTCTTAGAGAATTCTGAGTGGAAGTGAGAGGAAATTCCGATGATCATTCCATGGGAATTTCAGGAGATACCTACTTAGTGAATACACCAAAGGCTGGAAGCCTCTTTAGTAAAGAAATCTAACTAACTAACTTAGCTAATTTTGAGAAGAGAAGAGATTATTTCAGTAGAATTCTTAAGGAATTCCTCGGTAATACAGCGAGTGAATCAAAGCGCCTTCTGGAGATAATCGCCCTTATTCTGCGCCGCGAGTGAGGTGACTCTCCGAGCAAATCAAATGGAGGGTTTCCTCAATCGTGGTGCTTTTTGTAACCTTACCTCACTTGCGGTGCAGAATAAAGGAGTATTTCTAGAGTATTATGGAGCAAATTGTAAGGGAATACCAGAAAGAGTTCTAAGACGAACTCTTAGGAAATTTTGAGATGATTCTAATGAAATTCTTGAGATGACCTGTGTTCGGGCGCGGCCTTGGGTTCTTTTTTTTAATATAATGTGTTTATTTTTCCAGGCTCATTTGCTGTAGCTTTGCGGAGCCGATATTCATCGATTAGATTACAAAATTACTTAAAACTAACGTTAGTAGAGCGGGGGCCGATTACTCGCGACTATCTCGAGGTTAGGGGTAATAAATTGTAACAAATGGATGGCAGGGTAGGGATTGTGAACACAAGGTTTGGAGAGCAATGTGCTCTTGATCTCGAATTAGGCGACACTCTGATGAAAAAGACAAACTTGGGGGTACACCGATGGGCAGTTAACAATTTGGGAGAACACAAGATGACACTAACTACTAAATCCTCAAATCTATCCGTTTTAAAAACACATAAATTAAATTCAAATAGTCGAGGTCTCGGCTCGCCAAGACATCTCTAACGGGTATAGCGGGTTGTTTTCCTCGGGCCCTGAGGGATGTGGATAACTCAGATCTGGCAACACGGTGTACGGTACATGACCAAACAACATGCTCGATATCGTGATAACCACTGCCACACGCACATAAATTGCTGCCTGAGAGCCAAATTCGATAGAAGTGCAAGTCTAACGAGCAGTGATTGGACATAAGCCTTGATATAACGCGTATAAAGTCGCGGCTTGTTCGACACCTGTGGGAGAATAGAATGTAACCATCTTCGCAATTCACCATCATTCCATTTTTGTTGCCAACTGATAAGGAGGGTTAAATACCCCATTTCCGGCCTATTAAGCACAACCCGCACTTAATCTTTATTAATCTAGCGCAGTTTAGCACCAAACGGAATGTTTTAATTACTGATGGCTTCCAAATTTATTTACCTTTCCGTATGTACCGTAAAATTTGATAAAGAGAAAGTAATCGTTGAGATATTTTCAAAAGTCTAACACTGCTTCTTGACGCCAAACTCGGCCTACGGATTCCAAACTCGGCCTAACTCATTGAAACGCCTTTGAAACGCCAATGAATTCACTTCGGCCTATCGGATGAAGATAAAAATTGATTCGGTCGGAGCGCTTCTTTTGGTTTTGGGAATAATGGGTGCAAACCTTCATGTCATGCGTTCTCATTGACTTCGTTCCGTAGCTTATTAACTAAAGTATCATACCAAACGCATAATTGACTTGTTAACTCTAAAATCATGGATTTATTTGAAGTTTTCTGTTCGATAGGCCCAAAATGGGCGATTAGGCCGAAGTAGTTCTCTACCCGACTTGCTGACGAGCAATGGGGAGAAATTCGTTGAAGGCGATTTGTCGCTCAAAAATATCGCCTTTCATAGCGCCCACCTTAGCCAACGAGTCCGCTTTCTCATTACCCGGAATTGAGCAATGAGACGGGACCCTAGCTAAGGTGATATTATAGGAGCAGTTAGATAAAGCGGGTTTAGATCGTATTTCAGGCAGGAAATACGAGGAGTGCTTCATCGGCCTCATTGAACAAATAGCCTCCAATGAGCTAAGACTATCCGTAAAAATGAAATAATGGTCAGAAGGTAGTGAGGCAATTCGCTCTACTGCGTAAAATATGGCTGCGAGTTCCGCAACGTATACGGAGCATGGTTTCTGCAGTTTATAGGAGGCGCTATGAAATTGATTAAATACACCAAATCCAGTGGAAGCATTTATGGTTGACCCATCTGTGAAAAATCTTTTATCGTTACTTACATGGTACTTGATTGCAAAAATTGAGGGAACAACCATCGACCGATGGTGATCTGGTATTCCATGGATTTCTTGCATCATGGTCTGATCAAAATTTACAGAGGAACTATAAAAGTCTTGGAGGCAAACACGAGAGGAATTGAATGAAGAAGGGCCAATCTCCAGCGTATAGGGGTGGTTATGTACTCGTAAAAGAGACTCATGAATCTTGTTTGAGGATTTCGGTCGAGCAGCTTCTCAAAGTGTTCTATTACCAAAGGATTCATTACTTCACAACGGATGAGAAACCGGAAAGACAGCTCAGCGAAACGATCTGTCAGTGGGAGAACACCCGCGAGTACTCCGAGGCTCATCGTATGAGTCGAGTGCATACAGTCCAGCGCAATACGAAGGCAACGGTATTGAATCCGTTGCAGCTTCAGGATGTCTGTTTTTGCTGCGGATTGGAAGCAGAAGCTGCCGTACTGTAAAACCGAAAGGATGGTTGTTCGGTACCTCGTTCGGTACAAGCTGATCAGATCTTCCGGGTGTGCTCCCCACCAAGTTCCGGTAATTGTACGAAGAAAATTAATCCTTTGCTGGCATTTTTGTTTCAGATACGCAATATGTTTTCCCCATGTGCATTTGGAATCGAACCAGACACCTAAATACTTGAAAGATATACTTTGAGTGATTGTTCTACCCTTTAGTTGAAGCTGTAACTGTGCAGGATGATACTTCCTAGAAAAAACAACCAACTCAGTTTTCTCCGGAGAGAATTCGATACCCAGCTTCATAACCCAAGTAGACAAATTGTCTAAGGTATCTTGCAATGGTCCTTGCAGGTCCGGTGCACTTGGCCCTATAACGGACACAACCCCGTCATCTGCAAGCTGCCTTAGCGAGCAATTTTCATCAAGACAACCATCTGTATTTTACATAAAAAATAGGGGGCTTAAACATGAGTCCTGGGGGAGACCCATGTAACTAATTCGTGAAGTTGTCGAGTTTCCATGAGAAAAGCTCATACATTTCTCAGACAACAAGTTGCTCAAATAGTTGTTCATAATTGGTGAAAGCCCACTATCGTGGAGTTTATCCGAAAGGACATCGATACAAACAGAATCAAAAGCCCCCTTAATATCCAAGAAAACTGAACCCATTTGCTGTTTTTGCGCATAGGCCAGTTGAATTTCAGTTGAAAGCAACGCAAGACAGTCGCTCGTTCCTTTGCCTCTCCGAAATCCAAATTGCGTATCTGAAAGTAAACCATTCGACTCGACCCATTTGTCTAGACGAAAAAGAATCATTTTCTCCAACAATTTCCGTATACAGGACAGCATCGCGATGGGACGGTACGAGTTATAATCCGACGCGGGTTTACCAGGTTTTCGAATGGCGATAACTCTTACTTGTCTCCAGTCATCCGGAACAATGTTGTGCTCCAGAAATTGATTGAATAAGTTCAACAAGCGTCTCTTCGCGACGTCTGGGAGATTTTTCTGCAAGTTGAACTTGATTCTATCCATTTCTGGAGGTGAGTTGTTACATGAGAGGAGCGCAAGTGATAATTCCACCATCGAAAACGGGGAATCTATTTCGTTATTACCCGACGGACGATCACGAACGTTGGTTTGAACCGACACCGAATCCGGGCAAACTTTCCGTGCGAAGCTGAATATCCAACTGTCCGAGTACTCCTTGTCTTCATTAATCTCATCACCGATGCGTTTCGCATTCTCCTGCCGACATTCCAGAGCGTTCTCATGGTAGTCTCTCGTGACAAACCATCGACGAACCGACGCCAGTAACCGCGTTTTTTGGCTTTAATCAAGCTCTTAAAAGTTTTCTCGAGGTCGGTGTATCGCTCGAAGTCCCCGACCTTACCATGTTTGCGGAAGCGTTTAAACGCGGCGGACTTCTCGCTGTTTGCGTCGGTGCAATCCACGGAGTGAGAGGTCGTTTGCGAACGGAACCACCCGGAACGCGTTTCGTCTGTGCTTGAAGAGCGCAGTCAACGATAAGTCGCGATAAAAAGGAGTACTCGTCCAGCGGAGGGAGTATCTCAACCGATTCAATACCACCGAGAACCGTGGCCGCAGTCGATGTTTTTCGTGAGGTCGTATGCGATGTCAACCGAGCGAGTGGAAGATGAACCATTGGTAATAGAAATTTTGATTGGCAAGTGGTCACTACCCTAATAGGAATCTTGAATTACTTTTCACGAGCAATCCAACGATAGTGAACTCGAACTGAGGGAGAGGTCTAATCTACTTTTTCTTGCTGGAGGTTTGGCCACTCGTGTTACTTCCCCAGTGTTTAGAAGTGTCATATTGAAGTTATCGCAAAGGTCGTATATCAGGGTTGAGCGGTTGTCATCGTACAGTTCCCCCCAGCCTGTACCGCGGGAGTTAAAATCTCCTAAGATCAACCGAGGCTCAGATAAAACTGAGCAGATATCCGAGAGACCTTGGCGAGAAATCGCAGTTCTTGGAGGAAGATATACTGAGGCTTGTACCTCGAATATTTACCTGACATGCGACAACTTCAATGCCTGTCACGGAAGGCAGATCGATTCTATAAAAGGAATGGAGCTTATTAATCCCGAGAAGCACCCCTCCATACGAATCTGCTCGATCAAGACGAATAATGTTAAAATCGTGGAAAGGGAGATCGGTGTCTGAAGAAAGTCATGTTTCACAAAGAGCAAATGCATCACAAAGTGAGTTGTGAACTAAAAAGTTGAATGTGTCAAGTTTCGGTATAAGACTTCTACAGTTACACTGAAGAACAGAGATCATATCCCCGACCTCATTCGGAAAATTATCCATCAAAGGATATGATCGATGCAAGGAAGGACCACCTAGAAGCTAGTTGCTTCAAAAGAGTTTTCACAAATGGAAGCACTAAATTAATAATGTTCCTAGTTGAGTCAGAGACGTTGAATATATTGAAGATTTTACGGTCGCGTGTGTCCGAGGTGTTTGTTTCGGAATAGCAGTATTAAAACGCGACACGTAAAGTTAATCAAATTAAAACTGTATTTTACGATAAAATAAGACGGTTACAAATTACGCGTGTTCGCGGTTCTTAGTGTTCTTCTCTTCTTCTCTTACTCTCTGTTTTTTCAATGACGTTTCTTGTTGGTGATGTCATGGCATCGACGTTGATGGCAGCTTGACTGTCATCTGTGAGCCCAGCCGAAAAGTGATAAAAAAAATAGAGTTGGCCAAAGTCCCAACATCTCCTCTCTAATACAGGAGGTACGGCTGGAATCGCTGAGGCGCTCTTCGAACGCGCGAAGAGTGGCGAGGTGCCTGGACTACTGGTTCTAGCTCGATGGCAGACTGGAAGTCCGAAGTGACTGAGCCTGCTGTAGACGCCGAGACTTGTGGGAAGCTCAACGAGGACGCTGATAAGGACGACGGAAGCACCGGTGACAATACCGGGACGTGCATCAAGCTGTTGGGTGTCGAGGACGGCAAGGGTGGTGGATTGCCTAGAGGTCCGATCGGCAATGCTACTGGTGACAAAATCTGCGAGTGAGACTTGGGCAGATCCCACGCATCAAGCAGGATGTTGATGGGAAGCTTCTTGGTATCTTGTGTGACAGCTTTGGCATGTCGATCAGCTGTAACACGGTCCTTGAGCTGGTTGATATGTGACCGCACGAGCTTCCGATTGTTGGCCCAAACATTATACATAACTGTACCGATTTTCTCCAATACAACTCCAGGTGCCCAGTGCCAGTTGTTATTAACGTAGACTTTCGCAAAGACCAGGTCGTCACGTTGGTAACTTCGTTCTGTTCTTGTCTCCGTCGGTTGGTTGTGAAACGTTGAGTGGTCAGGCGGCGGACGAAGCAACTCCAAACACGTTCTGATTGGACGACCGAACATGATTTCTGCTGGCGATTTGCCATCCGGTGCTGAATGGTTAGGAGTGCTTCTGTAGGTGATCAGGAAAGTGTTGAGTGCTGCGTGTATTGTTCCTCTTCCCTCCTGAATTTTCTTGACAGACCGTTTAAAAGTATCGACAAACCTTTCAGCTTGCCCGTTGGATTGCGGATGGAACGGTGCAATAGTAAGGTGGTCGATGCCGTTCTCCACACAGAACCCTTGGAATTCTGCACTGGTGAATTGTGGCCCATTGTCGCTGACCAACGTAGCTGGCACACTAAATCGTGCGAATACGTCCTTCAGGATGCCAATTGTTGCTGCACTAGTCGTACTACGAGTTTGGATAATTTCTGGCCATTTCGAGTACGAGTCCACGACGACGAGGTAGTATTCTCCGTTAATGGGTCCAGCATAATCTATGTGGACGCGCTCCCATGGCTTGCTGGATCTTGGCCACGGTACCGGGGCACACTTTGGTGGAGATTTCGCAGCGGTGGCGCAATGTCGGCATGACTTGACGTAGTCGGCAATTTCGCTGTCCAAGAATGGCCAGTAGACGTACGATCTGGCAATGGCTTTCATTCGTTAAATACCCGGATGACCTCGGTGAAGCTGGTCGAGGCAGCGCTTGCGGTACGACGAAGGAATGACCAGACGTTCGCCGAAGAGGATACAGCCTTGGACAGTGGTGAGTGACTCCTGACGGTCGCAAAAACGCTTCAACTCTGGGTCGAAAATCTGCTTAGATGCTGGCCAGTCATCGTTTAGGAAACGGTATACCTTTTTTTGTGACAGGATCGGACTGAGTGACTTTTTGTACGATCCTGATATCGTCCTCAAGAGCAACCGAGGCGATAACGTAATCCTCATCCGGTCTCACGTGCTGACTGATGAGTCGAGAAAGCACATCCGCGTTACCGAACTTCGCTGTTGGAACGTGCTCGATGGTGAAGTCGTACAGTAGCAGCGTTAGCGCCCAGCGCTGCAATCGGTTCGACGTGTAGACCGGAATGCCTTTCTTCGAGCCAAAAATCCTCAAAAGAGGTGCGTGATCCGTTTGCAGATGGAAGCACCGACCAAACAACATTCTGTGAAATTTCGTTACCGCGAATATGATGGCTAGGCTTTCGCGATCGGGTTGGCTATAGTTCCGCTCGGCCGGTGTGAGTGCTCGCGACGCATGCTGAACGACCTTCATGGTACCATCCGGGAATTTATGGCTGATAGTGGCACCAACACCGACAGAAGAAGCGTCTGCCGATACGACGATGTCGAGATTCGGGTTGTAATGGGTGAGGAGCAAATCTGAAGCAAGAATCTCCTTGAACCTCATGAACGCCTGTTGGCATTGTGTTGTCCAACGGAATTCGGTGCCAGCCTTGAGTAGCTCGTCCAACGGGAAACGAAGAGTTCTCATTCTATGGACGAATTTACCGTAATAATTAACCGCCCCGAGGAAAGAGCGTACGCCGGAGACATCAGTGGGAGGAGCCATGTCGGTGATAGCTTGAATCTTCACTGGATCTGGTCGTAGCCCGTTGCGGTCGAGCAGGTAGCCCAAATATTTGATTTGTGGCTGAGCGAACGTACACTTCTCTGACCGGATGGTGAAACCAAATTCTTGAATCCGCTCCAACACTGCACGAAGATTGGTCCAATGCTCCTCAGTGTCTTTTTCGCCAACAACCACGTCATCAAGGTAACCAGAAGTGCACGGGAGACCAGCTGACATGGTGTCTATCAGCTGCTGGAATGCTCCTGGTGCTGTCTTGACTCCTGGTGGTAGACGGTTATAGCGGTACAATCCTCGGTGGGTGTTGATGGCAAGAAGATCCCGACTACATTCGTCGACTTCCACCTGGAGGAAGGCGTCAGAAAGGTCTACCTGGCTGAACACGGTGCAGTTGGCTAACTTGGCGAAAATGTCTACCGGTAACGGGAGAGGGTACCGATGCGGCTGCAGGGCATCATTGAGGCCGGTAGAATAATCCCCACAAATCCGTATGGAGCCGTTGGTCTTGCGGACGACTACAATCGGGGCCGCCCAATTGGAAAAATCAACCGGTGAAATGATCTTGGCGCGCTCCAATCTGTCCAACTCGTCATCCACCGCGCTGTACATGGCGTAAGCCACAGGACGTTTAGGGCGAAACGCCGGTACTGCATCTTGCTTGAGCTCTAGCTTGAGTTTTGTTTTTGTACACAATCCAAGTTCACTTCGGAAGACTTCCGGAAATGCCGCCTTGAGGGTGTCCACAGTGGTAGAAGAACTGGTGACACGGTTGCAGTAGGAATTGATAGGCACAGACCACAATCCGAAAGCATCGAGCATGTCGATCCCTAGCAGCTGAAGGGACTTCTCCACCACGTAGAATTGTGTTTGGCGTTGCTCACCGTTGATTGATACGGTGCAGACGAACTTGAAAAGTAGCTTTAGCGGATCTCCTGACGCTGTTGCGGCTCGTTCCGTAGATGGCATTATCGGTGGCTTGCCAACTTTCTCCCAGATCCGCTTCGACACAACACTGATGTCAGATCCAGTGTCTAACTGAAGACGTACATCCACTCCGTTGACTTGAGCTTGAACGAAACGACGCTTTTTGTTAACGGTATTTACCAGAAGACTTACTGTTTTCGTTGAGACAGCTTTCGGTCGGCCTTTCGACTTGAAAGCCGATGATTTGGGGTTTTTTCCGAACGCTCGAGCAATACCCCTCACGATGGCCGACGAGACCGCAATCGTTGCTCTTGTGTTGCTTATACGTGCAGTCCCGGTTAAAGTGCATTGCTCCACAGTTCCAGCAGGGTGATGCTGGTACGTTCCTGGCTTGTTTCGTTCCGGTTCCAGCGGATCCGATGCTGGGCTTCGCTGGATACTTGTTGAATTGCTTACGTTTGACGAACTGCACTGCTACTGACGTTGGCAATTCGATCATTGCCGTATCATGCTTCAGACACAACAATCGTTGACAGTCCGCTGACAGCTGTTCGAGTGTGACGTCCGTCCGCTCCTCTACACGATTAGAAAAAAGTACCCAACGGTCAGTTCACTTTTACCTAATTTTGACTAGTTTGTCTCCTTTTCGCCTTCTAATGTTGTCAAAAACGGAGGAGCAAAACCACCCAACAGGGGTAGTAAAGTGCGGGAACTCAACGTTGAGTATAATCACTACTTTTGGGTACAACTAACTTACTATTGGGTAGAAAGCTAGTGGAAAATTCCATACGAATTGTCCACAAGTAAATAAAAACTACTTTGGTCCGCTTTACCTACTTTTGGGTTCCTGCACTATAGTGCCGAGATGAGTGAAAAGAACTTACTTTTGGGTACTTTTTTCTTACCGTGTATCTTCGAAAGCAATCTTGTTCGTATTTCGCTATCTCCCTCCGATTTCAGACCGCAAACAAACATCACACATTTGAATTGCTCTTCGGTCATCTTGCTCAATTCGAACTCAACACAGCTCTTGTTGATTCGACAGGCAAACGAAATTAAATCTTCGGTAGGTTACTTTGCAATTTGCAAACAGCGATACCGTTTGCATACAACGGACTCGACAGCACCGAAAAGCGTTTTCAGTTTTTTTACCGTGTCACCGAACGGAAAGTTTTTCGGAACCTTCGGTAAGATGAAACTTACGTATCGCTCGTGTTCCGCAGCACCCAGTTTCCGCATGAGCAAGCGGACCTTGGCCTCATCGTCTAGGCGAGCAGCATCTTTTTCAAACAGGTCGTCGTACCTGGCGTACCAAGCAGCGAACGTGACGCTTCCCTCTGGTTCGTAGCGAAACTCTTTAATGTTGTTCGCCAGCGAATCCAGGATGATTTCAGGCGGATCTAGGCGGATTGGTCTTCCTATCAACGCATCGAAGACGAAATACATGAGAGGAAGAGGTTCTAGGGAAGACAATGTTAGCCTCCCACCCCGAGTTCAGATTGACGGTGACGAAAGCGAGGTGGTTGACGAGTTCGTGTATTTGCGCTCACCGGTGACCGCCAAAAATGATACCAGTAGAGAAATTCAAAGACGCATTATGGCAGGAAATCATGCCTACTTTGGAATCCGGAGGACGCTCCGGTCGAATAAAATTCGCCGCCGCACGAAATTCAGCAAAAAATATGTTTGTTAGCTGAGATCTCGGCAAAATTCCCGTTTGTTAGCTGAATCTCGGCAAGTTTTCACTGAGATCTAGCAAAATAAAATGCCGAGCTGCTCGGTGGTGCCCATCTCGGCGAAAAAATCTAAGTGTGTACAAGACGTTGATTATACCGGTGGTCCTCTACGGCCATGCTCGTGGAGGACCAACTTTGGTGTTTTCGAACGGAAGGTGTTGCATACCATCTACGGTGGAGTTGCAGATGGATGGCGGAACGTGGAGGAGGCGAATGAACCACGAATTGCACCAGCTGCTGGAAGAACCATCTATCGTCCACAGTGCAAAAATTGGGCGACTTCGGTGGGCTGGGCACGTCGTAAGAATGTCGCACGACGACCCAGAGAAAATGGTTCTCGAAAGCTACCCAACAGGAACAAGAAGAAGAAGCGCGCAGCGAGCAAGGTGGATCGACCATCGTGTGGCCATGGATCGAGTAGAGCGGAGACGACTTCTTCGGACAGTAGAGGACAACAAGGCCTTAGCCTGATTGGTAAGGTAAGTAGTACTCGATCTACTTCCTGTTCTTTCCTCATCCCGGGGTGGAACTGCTTCTATGATGACACACGATTTTTACATAAGGAAAGGGTTCCAGTTTCTGGGAGCTTGGTATTTTCATTAATTTCGCTGCTTTCTTTATAAACAATAGAGGAAATTGATCATCATTCTATTCTCATTTTATTTTTCAATGTGAATATTGGGATGCACCGATAATCCGACTGCCAAATCTATACAAATCAACGTTACCAACCTAACAGTGTAACCGTGACGTCGGATTATCGAGTCGTCGGATTAACGAAAGCCGGATTAGCGGAGGGAGATAACAAGGCTATCTGTGGCTCTCAAAGACCACCTACTGCAAACCGTCTCGCAAATGAACAGAGAAATATTCTGAACTGATCGGCAACGACTTTTGGCGCAATTTTAAACACCTGCCTGAAGCAGGAAAGACCCCTCCCTAAAAGGGCAATCACCACCGATTAGATCAAGAAATAAAGAAGGTATCAATTTCAAAAAAACCCTGTACTGTTCCCGCGCTTGAAAAGGTCGTCACCATCATTCACTCACCACCCCACCTGATGGATGGAATATTTAGTTAGTGGGAACGTATGTATGTACCTACTAATGTAGATGCGACATCATTACCCAAACCTGTAATCACTCTGTTCGTTCGCTTTAATGGGCATCAACAGATTTTAGCCCGCGGTCAGTGGCACTACCACCATGTACCATCAGGTTAGTACACGGCGCATATTTAGTCGGTTTGAACCGGACAAAATACCTTCCTCTCTTCACCTCCACGCAGATCGTGCAATTTGATCATCCATCCACTTAATAGTTGCCATTATATGTGTTTCATTTTCGGTAGATACTGAAGATTGTTACCTTTGCTCAAAACGAGAAAGCGTTGAAATCCTATCTTAGAGATTGGTACATTGGACCACATGTAATTTAGTTTTATCTAAGCAGCGGAAGGTAAAGGAGCCGGGATTTAATCCGATGATAATACCGGTTGGAGCGTTCCATCATAAATATGATACTGCTAGGTGGATTTGCCAAAAGCTTCAAATTATAAGGTTACTTACTGTTATGTATGCTTTTCCACTTGAAATGTTTCTAGCGATATTGGAGAACGGCGACGATGATCGTTTTCAAGTGTTGAAAACGCCACAGATCAACGCGATCACCTTCAGCGAGATTGGTATGAATTGAGACCCTCGATCTCGGTAACATGAGAAGAGCGTGAGAGCACAACGCGAAACAAAAGGGATCATCAAGCATCACGACGCGGTTGTTGTTTGGGGTCTCCGATGGTTCCCTCGAAGGGCTTCCCTCGGCTCCGCATAAACATTATTCAGCCGCAGTATTGTTTTGATATAACTACCATCCTACTCTCGCTTTCAGGTTCGCCGAGCACAATTTCCTCCATCCCATGATCGATCCGGAGTCGAGAGGACGCAACAAGACGGACGCAGAAGTTCTGGTCGAAGAGAGATCAAGCAATCGAGAGCGAGTCAGTTCTCGTCTGGCGATTCTCCAATCAGCACCTACATTACATTCGCGTGATCGTGTGCGCGTGCGCATTCTGACGCGTTACTGGATTTAGTGAGTTTGAAAAATACCAGGCAATCGATATCTCCGGAGATTCACGGCCGGTGGTCAATGTGCAACGGGTTGTGAACAGTTCTTGGAACATGATCACTTGAAGACACAGAAGAGAAAAATACAAATCGAAGATCGAGTTCTGAAATGCTAGATCAAGTGCATTAAGTGACTGAGTGATACGGTGATCGGCCCTAGAACAGACGTAATTGATTGTTGACCTCCAAAGTGGCGACGGACCCTGTGCTGATAACGATAATGCCGATGGAGGGAAGCTGTGAAACGGCATAATGACGCATTTGTGCAGCAAGGTGAGTGCAGCGTTGTTTACCGACATCTGGGCTAATTGTGAGTGAGTCATTTGCGATAAAGATATCGTTTATTGTGAACCCAACTGCAAAGCATGGCCTGGCTATTTATGGAGGAACCTCCTGGGTGGGAAGAAAGACAAAAACATGAACACATTCTTTCTTCCTTATTCGTGCTTCCTCCCTCCGGTTGAATTGAATCGCACGTACCTACCTATACTGGACAGCGGCGAACGCAGATGTGGATTCTAGGAGCTGCTGCCATTCGGTTTCGTATTAATTGTTTGTAAATAACTTGTGCAACGTGTTCAACAGTGGTCCACTACTGTTGTGGTGCTGAGCTGAGAGAGACGAACGATGGGATGACTCATGCTCTTCTTCGTCGCTGTTTTGAACACTACTTGTTGACTGAGGCTGCTGCTGCTGCTGAATAGACTCGACCAACGAACGGGATGATTTGTGCTGTTCAGTTCAGTTGTTGCTCATAATTAATGAGTTATCGAACGGTTATGATTCGTATGAGGAGCCGGCGCGATGGCGTCATGATCGATATTTTGATCTATATGGATTGCTGGGATGATTTGCTATTCCTATTTTTGCTTAGGCCGAATATCAAGCTTTGAAGTCGCTCAAAGCCTTGTCAGCCACAGGGTTGCTTCCACTCACTTCGCTATAAAAGATATTTTTCGGAACTATGAAATCATTAGATATCAAAATGATTGTGCTTGTAAGTTACAAGAAGATGCTATAAAGTATGTGTTTAACATATAAAATCTGCCAATTTCGCTTTTAAAGGACCGCAATCAGCGGTTTTATGATTCGTGAGCGTTCATTCAGAGTGAGCGCTCATGAATCATAAAATCGCTGATTGTGACTCTCTGAAAGCGAAATTGACAGGTTTTATATGTCAAACAAATACTTTACAACCTCTTCTTATAACTTACAACTCGGTGCCACCAAGCCAGTATCATTGGTGCTAAGGTAAACATGATTATTTGTAGCCAGAATTCCATGCATTGAAGAAACATTTGGTCTGTTTTGAAATTTCTTTCAATTTATACTGGAGTTTAGATTGAATTCTCCAAATAGTCGTTTGACGGAAGATGGTGCGTTCAGCAAGTCCAACAGGCTTGGAATAACTTTTCTTATTTTAGGATATGCCAGTACCGTGGAACCCCGTTAATCTGAACGACACTTAGTGCAAATTAACGGGGTTCATTTTTAAGTTGAACTTCTAGTAAGCTTACGACCATCAGAAAAGCGAGTTTCTGGTAGCCTTATTTGCTGTTTTGTTTTGATTATGTAATCCGTTTCGCATCGTTCATTTCGCTTTACTTTATTCCACATTTATGGTTAAATTACCGGGGGTTCACGGTATGTATCTCCTAAGTGATCATCGATGATCAACCAATGTACTTTTTTTTTGGCAAGAGGGAAACCTTCAAATAGACCATCGTGCCACCGCTTGACGACCGGACGCACGGTCGCGGTGACACGATGTGTGTGATTCTTACTGCACTAAAACCTCCTTGGACGCCTTGCCCATTTTCTCCGGAACCACTTGTCGTATTACTTCGGAGGGGGCTGTGCATTACGCATCTAACTTTACCTTAGCTAACTGGCTCTTCCACTTCGCTGATCGTCTCTCCAATTTGTGAGCCATTTAGCTCCCAGCGTCGCGTTCTACTCAGCTAACCCCCGGCGCTGGATTCAGCCTACTCCGACGGAGAGTTCTCCCGGCTTCGGCTTTCACTTCGCACTTGTGTGAGCACATTACTAGCTGGTCTTCTTGCCATTTTCGCTGCAGCGCTGACATGATCTGCGTTACTGCTCTGCTCACGGCGTTAAAGGTGCCTTCCTCTCGACACATTTCTTCGACGACATTCTCCGCGCTAAGGGCGAGCATCTCCTCTCGCACAGCATCAAATCTAGGACATTCGAAGACCGCGTGCTCTGGTGATTCTTTCACATTCCCACACTCCGGACAGAAGGGTGACGTTGTGTGGCCGAACCGATACAGGTACTTCCTGGAGCAGCCATGACAAGACAGGAACTGCGTCAAGTGGAAGTTGACTTCCCCATATCAGCTTGTGTGTCCATCTACCATTCTCCGCTGCATCCCACTCCTGCTACCACCTAGCCATCGACACCGTTCTCACAATTTTTCTTACTCTTCTGGTTTCTCTCCTAAATAATATAGCACTCGTAGTCCTCCGCCAAGGTGATGCCGATTGGTATCATACCGGCGATAACGCATACTGCCTCCGTCGAAATGGTTCTGTACGCACTCACGACTCGCACGGCCATGAGTCGGAACGTACTGTTCAATTTCATTTGATTTTGCTTCGTTTCCAGGCTTCAATCCAGGCATGATTCTGGCTATTGCGTTGATGGCCTCATATTCGATGTGGCTGGTAAAGTTCAGCCGGTCGTCGATCATTACTCCCAAATACTTCAGCACGCGCCTCGTAACAATGGCGTGCTCTCCGACGGTGATTTCTGCCCACTACACTGCTTTATAGTTACTGACCAACATCAGTTCTGTTTTGTGGTGGGCTATCTGCAGCGTAGCTTCGCTCCTTGCATCCAGTTACCAATCGTATCCATCGCCTCGGCCGCCAGCATTTTCACTTCTTCCAGGGTCTCATCTATTACCGTCAAGACGACATCGTCCGCAAAGACAACGATCTCAACTCCTTTGGACAGCTTGAGCGTCAGCACGCCATTATACATTCCGTTCTACCATAGAGGTAACTTGTCGAAATTAGTTCCGACTGACTGCAGGGGAGATTCTTCCGGTTTAATAACCTCCAGAGCAATATGTGTTACACGGCTCTTTATTGGGAGATTTTTAAAATCCTGTTTGATTGGATGTATATATCGAAGTACAAGATTGTTAGCATAGTGGATAACATAATTGGTAGCGTAAATACGAGTGTGCACGAGGGGCACGCAATAGCCTTTTTGACTGCGTTGGATTTAAAGTACAAGGTGTTCAACTAATTAAAAATGAAAATTAAGTATTTCATGTAATTAAGCAGTGCCAGTGTAATTACTGTAATTAAAACACGTAATTCAATTTTATTACGTAATTGATGTAATTAAAAATAAATTTTCTGTAATTAATGTAATTAAAGTTACACAAATGTAATTAAAAACGTACCCAAATCTTTATTCTTGAACTATTAAAAAAAATTGAAGAAAGCCCTTAACACATACTCGAATGAATCAATTTATTCAAAAACACCCTAGACTTCTTTACTAGACTACAAACATGACCAATTGTATGTATGTATATACAATCCAACTTCCACTGTCCGGCAGTGTTTTTATGAAAGAAAAATGTTTGCAATATAATCTATTATTATCTTATACTGATCCCATTGCAAACAATTTTAGCCCGGAAGTTGAAAGGGGATAGCTCTGTTGAGATTCAGTAACCCATTTCAGAATGCCTGGTCACTCACGTCCATTCCGAGGTTACTTTCACTTACAACAAGCCCCGCATACACGTAGTACCGATATAAAATGTATATTGGTACTGCGTGTACACTTCCATCATCAAAGCAATTCCTGCTTTGAAGATGGCACGTATTTAGTAGGATGCATTTCATATTTTTATATCTAGCTGTAATCAGTTAGATCTCACCGCTTGTGTATTGTGTCCTTGCTGCTGAACCGTTGTCATCTCGATTCTCGTAGAGTCCTGTTGAATAATAGGCATCTGTAGTGGAATAGTCTTCTCTCGCTTTCTCTATCACTTTTCGATGTTTTTCGTATCTCTTCTAACCGAAGATAGTACCAGAGCCGAGCCAAAAAGTTGAGCATGTTTCTTCGGGACCTTCTGGTCTTAGAGTTACCTCTATGGCTCTACTGCAGATCCAGCAGCCCATTTCAGAATGCCTGGTTATTCACGTCTACTCTGAGGTCGCTTTCACATGCAATAATACCGTTACAATTACCATTATCAATTGAATAATGGTAATGCCAGCACACTTTCAGATTAAAAAACATGATGTTTTCCAATCCAGTGCGTATTTAGTAATAGTGGAACAGCGTTTTTGATTAACTTTTGATTTATCGCACCAAACATTCCGCCTCCTGTAAATCAGGCAATTTCACAAGCACACTAACACAATACTACACAACCCGCCAAACTTTCTTTCGAACCGTTCACTAAAGTCAGTTTTAAAATATCTTTGTATCCTTACTTTTTTGAAAAGGCACAAAACTAAAATTAAAATAACACCAAGTTTTATCACCGAGAGAGAAAAGCTACTGGAAACACAACATATCGACCCGCAAGCAAAGCATATTTGGAAGTTTTTTTTTTTCTGGCTCTAGTTTAACCTTCAAAACTATCTTTCCCGTGATCGGGGGCAGAACGCCAACACCAAAAACGTAAACGAAAACTTTTCTTTCGGAAGCGGAGGCGTAGCACCGAACACGCGAAAAGAAAAATCCACCGAAGCACAAACCAGCTAGCATGACGCTACAGCAACAATTCTATTTATACCAAGTTCTTGTTCGGGAGTTTTCACAATAATGTTCAGAATTATTCACATTCTAGACTACAAACATGACCAATTCTGCGAATATTTATACTAAATTTCTTGGAGCACCATGCTAGAGTTGGAAACTGAAATAATCCACTCGCGGGAGGGTTTGACAATTATGCACGGACCATACAAATTTTAAAAATTTTGTATAGACAATTGTCTACGCAGGGGAAGGGGGGACAATAATAAAAAAAAATGTCTACGTAGTTTATGAACATCCCCTTATCGGCCTAAAAAAAACTTCTGATCCTGCGAAATGGTCAGCAAAAGAACTACCACCTTCTGCGCCTTTGTTACCGTTCCCGCTTGATCAGGTACCTGATCAGGACTAATTGAAGAAAAATTTAATCAAGCCGAAAACACCTAGTACAGTTGTACAACAGATTGAAAGGAGGAGTGGATAAAGCGACCGCGGGATACACTTGCAAATGGCGAACGAACAGA